TTTGCAGACGACTTAAATATAGAACGGGGTATTGTAAGTGGTAGAGTAGTCTTGTTACTACGATCCACTGAGATTAAGCCCTTGTTCTCGCGATTTGTTACTTTTTGCAAGTGCAGAATGTTCCACATAGACTATAAACTTTGACATTTTCATAACGTTTCTAAGTAGCGATGTTCCACATAGTTTATAGTTAATCTTAGTAACGATGTTCCACATAGTTTATAGTTAATCTTAGTAACGATGTTCCACATAGTTTATAGTTAATCTTAGTAACGATGTTCCACATAGTTTATAGTTAATCTTAGTAACGATGTTCCACATAGTTTATAGTTAATCTTAGTAACGATGTTCCACATAGTTTATAGTTAATCTTAGTAACGATGTTCCACATAGTTTATAGTTAATCTAAGTAACGATGTTCCACATAGTTTATAGTTAATCTTAGTAACGATGTTCCACATAGTTTATAGTTAATCTAAGTAACGATGTTCCACATAGTTTATAGTTAATCTAAGTAACGATGTTCCACATAGTTTATAGTTAATCTTAGTAACGATGTTCCACATAGTTTATAGTTCACCTATTCCATATGGTTTCATAGTAACGATGTTCCACATAGTTTATAGTTTAGATATTCCATATGGTTTGTTAGTAACGATGTTCCACATAGTTTATAGATTGGCTATTCCTTATCGTTTGTTAGTAACGATGTTCCACATAGTTTATAGTTAATTTATTCCATATTGTTTGTTAGTAACGATGTTCCACATAGTTTATAGTTCACCTATTCCATATGGTTTCATAGTAACGATGTTCCACATAGTTTATAGTTTAGATATTCCATATGGTTTGTTAGTAACGATGTTCCACATAGTTTATAGTTAACCTGTTCTATATCGTGTCTTAGTAACGATGTTCCACATAGTTTATAGTTAACCTATTCCATATCGTTTTTTAGTAACGATGTTCCACATAGTTTATAGTTAACCTATTCTATATCGTTTCTTAGTAAGGATGTTCCACATAGCTTATAGTTAACCTGTTCCATATCGTTTCTTAAAAATGATGTTCCACATAGTTTATATTTTAGATATTCCATATCGTTTCTTAGTAACGATGTTCCACATAGTTTATAGTCAGGCTATTCCATGTCGTTTGTTAGTAACAATGTTCCACATAGTTTATAGTTCGGATATTCCATATCGTTTCTTAGTAATGATGTTCCACATAGTTTATAGTTTGGATATTCTATGTCGTTTGTTAGTAGCGATGTTCTACATAGTTTATAGTTTAGATATTCCAAATCGTTTCTTCGTTACGATGTTTCACATAGTTTATAGTTTTTATATTCCATATACTTATTTACCGGATTATCACTATATTATTACAACTATATCACGTATCCTTTCATATTCTTATAGATTGCAACCGCTAATTACGGTGATTTACAAGACTATACTTATTTTACAGTATTTATGTTCCACATAGTTTATCGTAACGATGTTCCACTTACCGTAGCTTACTGTTTTTTATGTTCTAATTAGTTGGTTTTACATTACGCATTGTTTAGTTTACAGAATAGTTTTAATGTTCCACATAGCTTATAGTCTAAATGTTCCCCATAGTTTAGGGTTTAGTTTAAGCCCTTGTTCTCGCGATTTGTTTCTTTTTGAAAGTGGAGAATGTTCCACATAGACTATAAACTTTGACATTTTCATATCGTTTCTAAGTAACGATGTTCCACATAGTTTAAAGTTAATCTATTCTATATCGTTTCTAAGTAACGATGTTCCACATAGTTTAAAGTTAATCTATTCCATATCGTTTCTAAGTAACGATGTTCCACATAGTTTAAAGTTAATCTATTCCATATCGTTTCTTAGTAACGATGTTCCACATAGTTTATAGTTAATCTATTCCATATCGTTTCTTAGTAACGATGTTCCACATAGTTTAAAGTTAATCTATTCCATATCGTTTCTTAGTAACGATGTTCCACATAGTTTTTAGATTGGCTATTCCATATCGTTTCTAAGTAACGATGTTCCACATAGTTTATAGTTAATCTATTCCATATCGTTTCTTAGAACGATGTTCCACATAGTTTTTAGATTGGCTATTCCATATCGTTTCTAAGTAACGATGTTCCACATAGTTTATAGTTAATCTATTCCATATCGTTTGTTAGTAACGATGTTCCAAATAGTTTATAGATTGGCTATTCCATATCGTTTCTAAGTAACAATGTTCCACATAGTTTATAGTTAATCTATTCCATATCGTTTGTTAGTAACGATGTTCCACATAGTTTATAGTTAACCTATTCCATATCGTTTGTTAGTAACGATGTTCCACATAGTTTATAGTATCTATGTTCCACATAGCTTATAGTCTTTGTTGTGTTCCACATATGTTCTTGTTTGCATGTTCCAAATAGTATTGTAAGTGGTAGAGTAGTCATAGTCTTTTTACTACGATCCACTGAGATTAAGCCTTTGTTTTCGCGATTTGTTTGTTTTTGAAAGTGTAGAATGTTCCACATAGACTATAAGCTTTTACATTTTCATATCGTTTCTTTGTAACGATGTTCCACATAGTTCACAGTTTGGATATTCCATATAGTTTACAGTATTTATGTTCCACTTAGCTGTTGGTTTCATTTTCCGCATTGTTTAGTTTACAGTATAGTTACAATGTTCTACATAGCTTATAGTCTACGTCCCACAAAGTTTAGGGTTTATATTCGCATTCTTTTGTTTACAGTATAGTTTTAATGTTCCACATAGCTTATCGTGTTTATTTTCTACGTCGGTTATCGTTTTTATGTATCTCATACTGTAGTTGATGGTTTTATATTCCGTATACATTAGTTTGCGGTGTAGTTTCATTGTTCCACATAGTTTATCGTCTTTATATTCCACATAGGTTATCGTTTTATGTTTCACGTAGTTAATCGTTCGATATTCGGCATTCTTTAGTTTATAGTATGGTTTTAATGTTCCACATAGTCCATAGTTTCCATGTTCCACTTAGTTTATCATATTTATGTTCCATATAGGTTATCGTTCTTATATTTCACATAGTTCATCATTTTCTATTCTGTATTCTGTAGTTTACAGTATAGTTTTAATGTTCCACACATCTTATCGTTTATATGTTTCAAATAGTTGATCGTTTTATATTTCATATACTGTATATACTGTATTTTATAATTGTAATGCACCACCCGAAACCGGATAATTTACCGCATTAATATAATTTTACGCTGTAAAATATTAAATCCACCCTCGTAAAACAGATAATTTGCTGCATTAGATTAATTTTACGGTGTATAGGATTGAACGCTGTAAAGTATGCAATTCCCCCTCGTAAATATCAAATCTATATTGATATTTTTTACATCCTATACTACTACCTTGTATAGCCGCGTCAAGTTGTCCTAGACCGTTCTCCACCTGATTTATCAATACACTGTGTTTATTTTAAGGACTACTAGAAAGAGGAAAGTAAGCAGTATTTTCTAGTAATTCAGGATTGTTCTTGTAATACTATTTCCTATATTACCTACAATCGACTCACAAGAATGAGTAAGACTCCGTTAATATAAAAAGTTTTAAAGTTTTATTACGATGTTAAAATACAGGCATTAAAAACTACAGATATAATATCAAAAGAATATCTAATGTGACTTCTCCAAGCTAACCTATGAATGAATCTATCTAGCTCTACAATTATATTAGCCTCCTTATATATCTATCTTTGATGTAAATATTTACATCAAAACTCTATCACAATTTTCCATATACAAAATAGTATATCGTAACGGCTACAGTATAGGAGCCCTTTAACATGATCCGCGTCTTGTTTATATCTCCTCGAACCTTGTTCCTCAGCTCCTCGACCAATAGTCAATCTTCTAGGGCTTCCACCTGCGCTTCTCACCAAGAGGCCCATTAACACCGCTACATCTTTCCGATTCCCACCAATAGATAATCAATAGCATATATTGCACTAACATAGGAGGAACTGACACCATGTTCCACACAACAAGAGACAATTTAATATTACCGTTACAGTTCTGTTTTGTTTTTCAGGATCTAGTACAATTTGACGCGGACAATTTGCCATTTTCTCATCAGTTTCTTGGTAACAGTGTTCTACATAGTCTATCGTTATCTTGTTTTGTATAGTATAGCTTATCGCTCTAATGTTCTACATAGTCTATCGTTATCTTGTTTTGTACAGTATAGTTTATCGTTCTAATGTTCCTCTTAGTCTACCGTTATCTTGTTTTGTATAGTTTATCGTTCTAATGTTCTACGTAGTCTACCGCTATTTTATTTTGTATAGTTTATCGTTCTACTGTTCCACTGTTACAACTTCCAAATTTTGTAACAAGTACTAGATCTGCACTCAACAAGGAGACCCAGTAATTAAGTTGAAGAACTAACTTTATTGTTAAACTAATGAGTTTATATACTTTCTTTATTGTGACCTTTGATCTACTGGCGTAGATCACAAGATCATCACTAAGAGAAAGGTTTCCCTAGTTTAGACATTACAAATAGAATATCATACCGAGTATGGCAACATGAGAATACATATATAGATAACCTTAATATAGTACCATAACTACATCTATATACGCATGACGTGATACCATCGTGATATTTAACCATATATAGAAAGAAGGTAACATACTAATTATGTAACTATCACAGAACATGACATCCACACAGTCTATCGTTATCTTGTTTTGTATAGTTTATTTCTAGTTATTTGAGTACTTTATACGATACAGATCAGTTTCATTCCAAATTTTAATTACTTTTCACGTTATGCTTATTCTAGTGCTTAATACGCTAATCATACATTGTCAACAGCTTAATTCTTCGAATACTCTCTATTTATGCTTTTTATTGTAGCTCCGGATCCCTACAAAAAAAGTCGATATTGTTTAGAGTAGTCTTGTTACTACGATCCACTGAGATTAAGCATTTGTTCTCGCGATTTGTTTCTTTTTGAAAGTCTAGAGTGTTCCACGTAGATTATAAACTAAACTGCCATTTTCTCATCAATCTCTAAGTAACAATGTTCCACGTAGTCTTTCGTTATCTTGTTTTGTACAGTATAGTTTTTTATTTTTTTTAAGTGTAGAATGTTCCACGTAGACTAACGTTTATTAGTAACGATGTTCCACATAGTTTATAGTTTTCATATTCCATATAGTTTACAGTATTTATGTTCCACTGTCACAAACCCAGCTTTGTGACAAGGATAACGTAAAACAAATCTCTAAATTACTATGGTCTCCGGGATTCAGTATCCCTTAACTACCTCACAAGAATTTAGACGCCTTTGATTCTACGTTAAACTCAACTAGACAATTGAGAACTACTTTATTCAACTATCTGACGGGCTTATATACCCTTCTACAGCAGCTAACATTCATGAGTCATCTTATAAAATTACTTAGGTTAGAACATCTACTAACTAATTTTTCGCAGTCGGATTACAATATGTCCATTCCCAGAATCATTTCAGTGCACATTACAGCACAACATTAAATTTACTGTAACACATTTATAATTAGAGTAATTTGTATTGTAAGTAACTAGTTGTAATATATTATCACTATATTATATTAACCAAATTAGA